CAAGAGGGTTTGGGGATGTGGGGCAGTGAGGAAGCTGCCGGGTTTGGGGCCGGGGGGTGAGAGGATTTGAGGCTGCTGCCGGTGTTTGGGGGCGTGCGGCAATGGGAGGGTAGAGCAGGGTGGATGGGGTAGGGGAGGGGGAGCAGGTAAATGTGGGGTCTGTGAGGCCCTATGGCTGTCACTGAGGGTTATCCAGCGGCTGTGGGGTGAGGGAATGGCTCTGGATTGGGGTATTGGCAAATGTAGGGGGACAGAGGGCAGGAGAAGCTGCCAGGACTTGGGGGCACAGGGCAGGGGGAATGGGGCTGCTCGGGTTGGGACAGGTGCAGCACCTTGGGGAGATGGGGTCACAGGGTTTCCCTCAAGAGGGGGAGTGGGACTCTGGCACGGCCTTTTTTGTCACGTTTAAAAGTGGTGATGAGCAACTCTTCCCTTTCTGAGTTCTGCTCCCAAAGGGCCTCTGCGGTTCAGTAGGTTATTCTGCTCAAATTGCTATGAGAGCTGAGGAATTCTGGATAAGCACCAGCCTTCTGTAGAGTTCTCTGCTTAAATTATTATCTCTTCGCATTTTAGCATGTCCAAAGTGTAATTTGATGTTAAGGATATAAATTATTTCCTTCTCTGCTCCAAACTGGGGGTGTACTGCAAAGTGAAAGCTGAGAAGGTGCTTCCTTTGCTGCAGAAAGTAAAAGTTCAGAAAATAAAAGTCCTTGAGTGTCCTTCTCAACAGTTTGTTCTCGTAAGCAGGTCAAGGTGTTTCCTGTGGGGAAAGTGTTGACTCATTCTCTGGTTTCTTAGCAATATTTTGGTGTCTGCAGGTTATTAAATGTCAGCTGTGGAGTGAGAACAGGGTCCTGCCTGAGTCTCCTCAGGTTAAAAGGCTGAGGATGGACAGGCTCAGTGTTTGACCCCGTGATAAAGAACCAGTTGCACTCCAGAAAAAACTCAGGTGTTTCCCTACGCTGCAAGGACGGCCAGGAGTGCTTAGTCAAGTGTAGCATTAAAGGTAGATAAACCCTAGGAACAGTTTAATTTTATGCTTCTTGGGTTAAGCTGTGCTCAGGGCAATGTTTCATTGGCTGAGACAGAAGGGGTTTATTTGTGTGTTTCATTTGGGCTCACTTCCTCTGTGACACACAGCGTGTCTTCTGTGGGGAGCACAGGATGTAACCTTGGATGTTGCTGTTCCACAGCAGTGCAGGGACCCGTGGCAGTTTTCTCTTCTTCCTGACCTGACTGTGGAATTGAACAACTTAGTGGCTCTACAAGAAGGTTTTTTAGCTCTCCATATCATTAGGATGGGAGAAGACAGGTGCATTTTAAGTTGGTATTTTATTGTGTTTACACTCTGGTGGGTTGTATTTTCACACTTTGAAGTTCAGATTTTAAGACAGATGATCATTAAGGCATATACATGATTGCATAAACAAAAGGAGTTTTAATCCTATGTTTTCCCATTGTTCCCTCATTTTTCCAGAGCTGAGGAGTGAAGCAGAAAACTGTGATGAGCTTCAAATGTTTCTTACCAATTCCAGATTCTTGGTTTTACCTACCTACACCCATCAAAAACTGAATCTCCTTAACACCTTTGTGCCCACAGTGATGGAGGGGGGGATCTTGTAGTTGTTTTGTGTAATCACAATTAGTTTTGGTGGCACAATTGGGCCTAATGAACCAAAACAATCACCTTTGGCTGCTGTGTTTCCCATTGGGAGCTGGGGATCCTAGAGCAGAGTTATCCAGCTGCAGCACTCTGTGACTGCACATCCACTCAGCTGTAGCAGCTGAACTTTTAATTAAAGGCTGATTGCCTTGACAGTGGTGCTCATGGGTTAATGCTTAATTGCTCAAGTTTTTGCTGAACTGGAATAGTTTTGAAGTCATCATTTAAGTGTTGTGTTTAATTGTAGGGTAGGAAAAGTAGGATGGCTTTCAGTGAGATTCAGACTTTCTCATTGTTAGGTACTGTGTGATTTGGCTCCTAAAATGGGAGCTGAATGCAATACCTTGCACTGAGAGTACAAAGGAATAATATATATGAGTTTTTGGGAGGTTAGTGGTCACTAGTTGAGTTTATGACTGAAATCTGCCTTCTTCACATCTTCAGTTTTCTCTTTATTGTTGTTGACTTCAGTGTGGGTTTGTGTTGTTTTGTTTGTTTGTTTTTTAAATGATGTCATTTTCACTTCTTGTGCAACTTTGCACCATGGTTTGTTGTTAATAACAACTGAGGTTGTAAACTCTTCAATTAGGCTGGAGCATGATCTGAGCTGAGCAGCCAATGTTGTTATTAAACCTGGAGCTTGGACTTTGAACCAGTTTTTGCCTGGAGGGGTGGAAGCAGATTTCCACGGTCTGCTCTGTGTGCCTGCCTGTGCTCTGGCTCTCCTAGTCCTGCTTGGAGGGGGCAGTGGAGCTGGGCAGGCTGTGGCTGACCCAGCACTGTCCTCAGGTCTGGCTGGGTAAAATACTCCTCACCTGGGGTGTGTTGGTTTCAGTGTAGGAAAAATGGTGTTTAATTAAGGTTAGGCTACTTTCCTGTCCCTTACAATGTTTATTCATAGGCTATGGAATCACAGAGTGGACTGGGTTGGAAGGACCTTAAAGATCATCTAATTAAAGATCCCCTGGCTCCATTTCTTCTCTAAACCTTCTGAGCAGTCCTGAGGGATGCAGAGCCTGATTTGAAGATAAGAAATCAAAATGCATCGAAGCAAGTTCTTGTGCTTAATGAAACACGCTGTGGGCAGCAGGATAGTGTGAGCTGCAGAACAGTGTGTGCATGTGGCCCTTTTTTGGACACAGCTGTGTGTGATCTGCTGCTGTGCAGGGAGAGGACCTCTGGGTACCTGCTAGTTAAGAGAAACTGGTTCTTCTTTCTGGTCCCAGCTCTGACTGCAGACATAACCCAGCTTTACCTGGGTATTGCTGGCAGTCTGGATTGAGCTCTGGTGGCTCAGCCAGAGCCCTGGTGGGATCTCTGCTGCTGCTGTTGACTGCCTGTGCTTTGTGCTCTGCACTTCCGTGTATTTACCTGGTACAAATGTTCCCCCAGCCCTCCTCTGATTGCCCGTTGTGAAACCCCACCCTGGCTCCTGCTCCCCAGAGTAATCCCAGTCTTTATCCGTCACAATCCCTCTCTGTGGTTTCCCATCAAGCCTGTTTCCCCCCCTGCCCAGGGACTGTCCTTAAAGAAGCCAGGGATTTGGAGTGTGAACTTCCCTGAGCTGGCATCCAGCGAGCAGGGAATGCTTTGCAGGGATGAGTAAGTGGAATCTCTATTTCACAGGTGGGACAATCCCGTCACTGCTGGGCTGATGTCAGGACCAGGACTCACCTGCATGCAAAGGTTTCTAACCCCCTGCTGGTAGGTGCCTCTAAAGTTGATTATTTAGTCTTCAAACAACATTGCAAGGTTGAAAAATTACCCTCTTCATTAAGAAACCAAGAGAAGAACTGTCAGACCAAGAATTCAGATTTTGTATTAGGTTTTTTCTTCTTTCTCAGCTGGTTTTCTCAGAACTGAGATGGCTTATTCAAACCTCTGAAAGGCCTTTTTGGCTTGCTAAATTTATGTTCCCATAAGGGACTTTCTTAAGAAAGAATTGTTCTGAGATGCTGTTAATTCTTCTCAGTGCCTATAAAATCTACAACTTCTTCATATTAATTGCTGTTGAGGTTTTCAGTTTACTCGAAAATATTAATCAGGCTTCTTTCTCTAATACCCTTTGGCTCCTCTGCTAAATAGTCTTGGAATAGGATTTCCCACATTTTATTTTGGTGGAGACTAAAATATTCATTAAACATCAGCTTTTTTTAATGCTGCCACTTTTTATTTATATTCAGAAGGTTGTGGGATGTGCTTATAAGAATATACTTAAGGAGCATATGCTTTGAATCTTTTAGTTTAGGCTGATGTTAAGTGAGATTTGAAACTCATTAAGTGTAATTTAAATTTAAAATACTCTCTTTAGGGAGTAGTTTGTTGTGTGGTAACCTCTGCTGTAAGAAGGATGGTTCCTTTGGACATTATATATTCTATATATACACATGGATGATTTCAAATTGCAATGTCACAAGTGGCATCACTGAATCCACACCACTTGAATTTTTATTGCTTTGGCCTTTCCCCAGATGAGTCAGGAACTGCATCCCACAGAATTCCAGACTGGAACTGATGTGATGCTGCTTTTTGTTGATGTCAGAATACCTTGCTCAGAGCAAAATGGCTGCTGGCACCAGAGGATGGCCTTCACCCAGAGTCTCAGCTCACTGGCATCACTCAGATGAGCAATTCCTGTGTTTGAGGTCATCCTCCACAAGATTGTGCCATGCATTAATAAATTTGCTTCCATGGAAGTGTTGGTGCTTTCCAGGAGTTTACCTGGGCCACGAGTACTTGGAAAACTGCCTAGCAGTGCTGTCCCTGGACACAGAGGGTGATAAGCAGCAGCTTCATGCTCTGCTGTAGTTTGGTGTTAAAATAATCATGGCCAGGCTGGAAGCTGCAGCTCTGAGGCAGTGAGCAATTCCTTCTCTGTGGGGTTGCCTTTGAATTTGTTTTATATGTATCTTAAAAAGGAGCTTTTATTCATCTGCTGGAATAGATTTCTTTATAGACACTTGAATTTGATAATCTGGAGGACAGACAGGCCTCTGGGTTCCTGAACAGTTTTTTAAAGCGGTAAATTAATGGTTAAAAGAAGGGAAATCTCTGTTTAGATTAACAAAATAACTTTTTTCTTACTGAATCCATGAACCTCTTCCTATATATATGCCCAGCAGTCTGGGCTAGCAGCAGAGACGGATAGAATGTCAAGCTTGATAGATTGTTGGAGCTGGTTTTTGGTAGTTAAACAATAATGGAGCTGTTGTGTGCTTGCAGGGAAACACTGAGCTCTGTGTGCAGACTTCAGCCTGGAGAAAGTTCCAATTGTTCCAGAGAAGGGCGAGTTCTAAAATGCAGCTTCTGTGGCTGGTGGCACAGCTGGCCAGATCCCTGCCTGTCCTGAGGCTGTTGCACAAGCATTGCAGGAGAGTTTGGAAACAGTTTATTTTTCAGATTCCAAGTAGATTTCCAAGTCTTCTTTGACTGTATAATCCAAAAAGTAGAAATGGAAGCAGGTTTTTATGAAGGGGCTGTTTCATGCTCTTGGAGCTCAGGGCCCAGGTTCCTGCCAGTCAGGCAGAGGCTGATACTGCATGATCCATGCCTTATGTCTCTCAGATGGAAAGGCTGATCAGTTGTGGCAGGGGATCATGGAATTCCTTGTCAGCTCAGTCAGACCTCGTCTGTCACTGTGCATCTTCTTGTGCAGAAGGCTCTGGAGTAGGAGGAGCAAGATTCAGTCTCTTATGCAAAAGAGAAATAAGAGTTGAAGCATTAATTCAATAAAATAAAGCCCAAATCATCAGCCTCCTTTCTGGCAAGCTACTTCCTTCTACTCCTGCTGTTATTTATCACTGTTGCTTTATTGCTGTTACTTGTTACTTGCTCCTCTGACTCGAATACAAAACACAGACCGATTTTTGCAATGAAAATACCTAAGTCGGGAATGTCATTCTGAGTGAAGGAATTCCTGGAAAGAATTGAAATATGTTGTTCAGCTTGCTGCCAGGCTTCAGGAGCAACTTGGAATGCCTATAGGGTGTGCAGGGAGAATTCAAAGCACCCGTAAATGACTGCTTGTGTATGGCAAAATAACACACTTGGGAGCAAAGCACTTGCAGCATTTCTTTGTATCTGACTTCAGAGACACCTTAAATCTGCAAATAACCTTATCTGATCACCCTGAGACCATCTCTGAACTCTGCCATGGGTGATAAAGCTATTTCAGGGTTTAAACTGTGTGTGTTTTAGAGAGAACACACAACACATTTAATACAGTTTTGCCATTTTGGTCCCTTGGAACCCTTAACATTGCATGATTTCAGTTTGTTCAGTTCTTGCTGCGGTAAAGGCTGTTCATATCAGGTTTTTAAACAATGTGTTCAACTGCATATAATGAAGCCTTTTCATCCAAGAGAATGTAGGCCAGAGCCCAGCCTGGGTCATGAAAGGCTTTACTTTGTCTGAGGGAAGTAAGATGATCGTTCTTGGAATGAGGCCTGTCTCACTCAGTGCTGCTCTGCCCAAAGCCAAACTCTCTTGGTAAGACATTGTTCTGGAGGCCTGAGCTTGCTTTTTTATTTCTGGATGTGGCTGTTAATAAGATGAGCTAAAGCTTTCATTGCTCTGGCAGGAATAAGGGATTCAGGCTTGACATTAAATCTAATACATGGTGGTATTTCCTAAAAACTCCCCTAATGAAAGAAAATGTGAAGAAAAGGGTATAAACTGTTACTGTCCACTGTGTGCTTAACTGATCAGCCTTAATCATGGAGGAAACGGTCTCAATGTATCAACCAAACCTTCTAAACTTCTAAGGAAAAGGGTTTTTTTACAACATGTACAAAAGATTTGAAATCTAAAATCCTTGGTGTCTTCCTAGCCAGCAGTTTGACAGCATGCTGCCTCTTTCACACCTCAAGTGCCGAGAATATTTGTCTTTTTTGTTTGTTTTGTAGTGATTTGTTGTTTTTTTCTAAGGCCACATTTGTCAGTAACACTTTTATTTTTAAGTTGAAGTGTCCCCTTAAGTAAAAACAAGCTTTTTGAGCAATATTTTATTCTGCATGTTGACCCTAATTTTCATTGTGAACTGGGAAGGAGTTAAAAAAAAAAAAGCCACAAAAAATGAACAGGACTTGCATTGTTTTTTGCACTTGTATCAAACATGAATTTGGCCTCAAAATCATCATTTCGTCCTGTTTTTTTTTTTATATTATGTGTTGTAAAATTGTTAGGATGCTCTGCAGAATTGCAAGGAAGTTGTTCACTCTTAGCATTTGTTCTCTTAAGTGCCTCACTTCTCTGAGCTCTGCAGTTCTCTGAAAGTATTTAATTCCATTATGAATACAGAACTTCTTCAAGGAAATGAAATATTGATTCCATTCCCTGATGAGGCATTATCTGCATTGTATGTATGGAAGACTTAAGCACAGAGAACTGAAGTGGCCCAGACTCAGAGCTGGAAACTGAAAGTAAAAATCCTCACCCTGAATTTTCTCGTATTATCCCATTACTAATCTGAAAATAATTACCCAATGATATATTTTGAAATTTGGATTTTAACTTTTTTTAATAGGACTATCTAGTATCTGATTTTGTTTGTGTAATCCAAAATGGGTCAGTTTCTGCTGAACTATTGAACTGAGAAAAGTAGAGTTCAAAAGAGAAGAAAGGTCATGCTGATGTTATCAGGTCAGTGGTGGAAAAGATTGTGTCATAGGGAGCTTCTTACTGGCAGCAGTCCTGTCTGGTTGTGCTGAAATGCCAGATAAGTAGTTTGTTTGGGATTTGAGGACAGAAGTGAAGATATTTTGAGGTTTTAGTTAAAATATATATATTCTTTGTTGTTAGAGGGCTGTGTGAAAATACAAGACAGCATAGCATGTTACCAGCCTCCATGATAATTACAGTTTTATTCTTCATGCTCCAACGTCAGGAGTTAGTCTAGTATGAAAATCTTGTCATTTTACAAAGCAAAAAACCTCCAGAATGGAAAGAAATGCTCCTGCCAGTTACAGGGAAGCAAAATGAAAACGTGACAGTGCCTGTGTACTGCAAAGATGAGAGGAAAAATCCCCAGCAGAAGGTGAATTAAAAATCCCAACCAAAATGAAGTAGATTTATTGGTTTCTAAACCCCAGTGGTTTCTGGAGCACTGACTCATGATGTCTGAATGTCTGGGCTTGCCAGAAGCCTGCACTGATGAAATGTGACTCTGCTGGCATGGGCCATATATGGGAAATTTCCCCTCTGTGACAAAGGTAGGGAATCCAGGAGATGCAGGTCCCTGGCTGAAGCTTTCCTTGCCTCCTGTCCTCTCAGTCTTGTGTAAAAATGCATTCTCTGGGTTGGGTCCCACTGGGACTCCCTGTTCAGCACTTTGTGAATTGGGCGGGTTCAGGTGAGCTCTGCCATCAAAGGATGCCCGTCCTGCCTCTTTTAATCACCCAGGTGATTAAAAGGCTTGACAAAGAACTTAAGTGTTCTGCCATAATTGATGTACAGAGATGTGGCAATAAAGGAGAAATACCTTTTTTTGGATCATGGCTTTAGTTCCCTGAGACAAATATTTACTTGAATGGTTTGTCAGCCTGTGTGAGCTCTCGCAGAATCTCCTCAGGTTGTGCCCCTTCAGCTCAGCAACCAAAAACATGGGACCAGATGGCTGTTGGGTTTGTTCATGTTTCTGGTTGAATAAAGCCCAGATTTCAGGCTGCTTGGTTTCAGATTTCTCAGTCCTTAATCTGCAGGGATTG